ATTGGTCTTACCTTTTTTTTCCTGCTATAGGTGAAATGATGTGAGTCTTTGATCACTAACTGGGAGCTGACCTCTCTTTCCCGTGCCTCCTGTTGATGGCAGGAAGAAACCATGACTCAGCAGAAGGAGGAAAAGGTGTGTCCATAACCTCATTCAAGAATTCCCCTTCTAATTAGGTGCTCTTAAGCTTTTCAGGAAAAGCTTCCTCCTGTCTTTGCTACCCTGCCAAGACTTCTCCCTGTCTCCTGAGGACACAGTACCCCTCACTAGTACTGGAAGAAACAATGGAAAGAGCAAAGGGAATCTCTTTCTATTGAACTCAGTTTTGATGTGTGCTTAGAAACCCAATGAAAATGCACTTAAGAGCAGAGATGCTTATTTAGAGATGATTTCATGGGAGAGGATTGATTCCACTGTGCCTGGCACTTGGCCTTTGAAGCTAATGGGAATGATTAATTTAAAATGATGCACTGCAGTGTGAATAGCTGGAGACAGCTCTTCTCTTCCCAACCCTTTACTGAAAAGGGGCAGAGAAGGAAGAATTCAGGGAGCAGCTGCAAGTGTGATGTCCCTGAAAGCTCAGTGTATGGCTGCAAAGCTGAGGAGATCTCAGCTGGTGTGTCCAGACCCAGCTCCACTGGAAGTAGTCCCTGGCACAGCAGGGACAGTGCTGTGAGAATTAGGGATGTTTGGCTTTCTCATAGAGCTGGTTGCTCATCCCATCGTTTTCCCCTGCTCTCAGTATTGCACAAGGAGGGATTTTCACTTGAGCAAGTCAATATGTTGATCTTCTTGCATGAACTGCCCACCCACACACTCTGACCCATCCCACTTTATTGTGTGAAAGGAGCACACTGGCAAGAAATTCAGGCCTACTTTCTTGCAATAACACCAGTCAACAGTTTCAGGCTCAGTTTGACCACTTCAGCTGGCTTTGGTTTGTAGCTGTCAAGCAAAAGGAGACCACAGTTACAGCATATTGAAAAATCATGTGATGCTGCAAGTGAGCTTGATGAAAGCTGGACAATAGAGGCAGACCAAAACTGTAGTATTTTGAAAAACAAAAATAAAACCCAGTAATAATCTGCCCAAAATTGTTTAAAATAATCATGTAACATATTAGGTCATTAAAGCATGATAATCTTTTCAGAAGGTCCTCTGCTGGCTATGTTTTGCTGATAGATTCCCTATGCTGTGAAATATCTGCTGGAGTAAAAACCTTTAAAAACTGTGAAGGATGTAGAAGGTGAGGACAGAAACTTAGAAAAAAAGGAGAGGGTTGAAAGTAGGAGTTGGGAAATTATAGATACATCAGCTTACCTGCAATTTCCTGAAAAATCCGGGAACAAATAATCAAGCAACTTGTAAGCATGTTAGAGAAAACAAGGAGATTAGGGACAGTCAGCATGGATTTGTGAAAAGTAAAAGATGTCAAATTAACCTCATTTCCTTGTGGCAGAGTAGCAGGTTTTGGGACAGAGGAGAAGCCATTCAAACTCTGACATTAGTTAGACTTTTGATGGGAAAGACATAAGCATAAGCAAGAAAAGGAAATATATATGTGGAGTTATAAAGGACTGAGCACAAAGTGTTTCAGAGCTTCACCAGGAATGTCTAAGAAATGTTGTGTGAGATCTGGTGTATTATTCCGTACTTTCAATGGGCTAGAAAGGATATATTTTATATTTTGAGTCACAGCCATGCAAGGATGGACTGCAAAAACAGAGCTAGAGCTACAAAGGATCTTGAGAAATGCAGAGATGCCATTTGATAAGGACAAGCACAAGGTGCCAGGCTTAGGAAAGGACAAACAGCCACACAAACACAGGCTGGAGAACTGGAGAACAGCTGGAGCTCTTTGGGAAAGAGCACGAAGAGGAGCCCTCCCTCTCCTGTGAGCTGTCAGGAAGCAGCAGCTGGAGCCCACCTCTGGGCTTTGCTCCAGCAACGGGAGCTAATTCAGAAGCGTCCAGAGTAGCTGGAGCAACAAGCAGAGGGCTCAGAAACAGGGTTTGGGATGGAAAAGTGAGTGTGTGTGTGGGTTCTTCAACTTATTAAAGAGTCAACTAACAGAGGACACCATCATCTGCTCTTCGTGTGCATGGTGGGCAGGGCAAGAAGTACTGACCAAGACCATTCTGAAATATGTTTGCTGTGCGGGCAGCAAAGCCCTGGGGAGGGTTATCGTGGAAAGCTCGAGCAGCTGATCCTGCCTTGTTACACAGGAACAGGTTAGAGAAGGTTCTTCAGGTCTTTTCGTGCTCTGCTTTTATTAAAATTCCAGCAATGTAAGGATCTCTGATTGTCAAAAGTGGATTTTACATCGCAGACTCGTGTGTCAAACAGGAAGCTCAGGCCATATCACTCATTATATTGATGTCACTGGCAGGGTACAGGGAACGGAATTAGCAAAGCATTTTGTGATCTGCTAATCTAATTATAGAAAAAGTTACATTACGTAAGTTTTGAACGACATTTCAGTGTAAAGTCACATATGAAATCATTGCTTTCTTCTCTTATATGACACTACAGGAGCACATTTCTCCTTCAACAGGATTCCCTCGGGGAGCAGAGAGGGAGAATAGCTGGCCTGGGAGGTGAAACTCCTGCTTGCTCCACACCACACTGTGGCAATGCTGATCCTGTCACTCTCTCTTCCTCGTGTGTAGATAATTAAGAAACAGAAACTCCAAAGTGCTGCAGGGAATTAGGCAACTTAAAACACCATCCTTCCTAAAATTTATTACTGTGCATATGCATAAACCCATTTTTATTCTTTTAAGACTAGTACATCCAGTACTGGTATTATATTTGGGACTATTCATGGCCTTAAACTTAAATATGGGTTTAAGTATATTGTTGGCTGGGATCTCATAGTTTTGCCTTGATTTTTTTTCTCCCATTCACACTGAATCAATTCCTGATGCCACTGAACAATAACTCAGCTCTGATTTCCCCGGGGCAAGAATTCAGCTCATGCTGCCTATTCTACGCCGAGGCTCAGTTGGCTCATGCAGGGCCAGGGATAGGCAGAGGATTTTTGCTTTTGGTGAGGAAATACAAGTTTCTACACTCCCTTCTGAGGCAGAAAAGTGCTGCCTGCAGTGCTCAGAATAGTTCAAGGGAATTTTTTTAATGCTTTCAAAAATATCCTCCAAATGAGCCTTGGCAGTACCTCCTGCACCACCTGCTACTGATACTCTGGAAATCAGGAGCGGCTGGAGGAGGATGGCTGGAGTAAAAGTTCCCTGGGAATCTCACCTTTGCACTTGTTTTGATGCTCAGCAGAACCAAAATTCAGATTCAGCTGATCGTTCCATCTTGCTTTGCTGCATGTTTACACTGAAAGGAAAATCGCAGGACACCTTTTGCTCTGAATGCTTTTACTCTAACTCTTTCTTTCAAAAGTCTGGCTGGAGAGGTGTTTAACCACAAAGATCCAGGACAGCGGATTTTTGTTGATTTTTGTTGATCCTTCGTTCCTGGATGATCTCAGGACACCAGCTTCTCCCAAAAACTTTGGAGGTCTGAAACATGAGCCTGGTGAGGCCAAAGGGCAGCTGGGAAGCTGTGAAGCTGAACTTTGTGTGTCATGCTGGCTCAGCAGGCAGGAGGTGGGGCTGAGGGCATGGTTGGAGGAACAGCAGCTGTTGGATAGAGGTTACACTCAATGTGTAAGCTGGGTACAAGTTTGTCAGATCCTTCACCAAGAACAAGGTTTCCAGATACCCCATGCAAACCTTGAAATCCAGGTTACCAATAATTCTACATGAAGAAAGAATGTGTCTTTGAGGAAGTGGTTAGAAGACAGCCTTGTTCAAGAGGTAGAGGTCTCAAACCTCTTCTGTAATTCCAGCTGGGAATACAGGTTTGGATCCAATCTGTGCATCATTTTCACATTTTCAGGCAGTGGCTGTTCTGCCCTGCAGATGTGCATAATGATGACAGTCCCTCTTGCTCCTTGGCAAAGCAGGAAGTCATCATGCAATGGAACAAGGGATAATTTATCCTGAAACCTAACCCATTTACTGGGAAGCCTGTAGTCAAAGCCTCATTAGATCCAGTGGGAGAGTTTTGCAGACAACAGCGTGGTGGCAGAGTGAGGGGACAGCTTGAACCCATGTGGTTCAAGACTTGCCACTGGGTTGACTGGAGGAGCCTTCAGGAGGGTCCAATCTGACATCCTGGGAGTGTCAGCAAGAGCCCTTTCTCCCTCTGCCCCATCACTCAACAAGGACAAGGATTATGCATGGATGTTTAGAGCAGCCCTTTCCATCTGAGGCTGGAAGACAGTTTTCCTGCAAACAAGTCCTCATCGGGGTTTATCCTGTGGGATGTACCAAAAGCAGACTTTGCAGGAGCTCTCCTTGTGTGCCTTCATGTTCTGTATCTAATGTAAGTACCAAAAATCAGAGATGACACAACGTGAATTTTACCCATGCCTATGTGATCATGGAACCACAGGATGATTTGGATTGGAAGGGACCTTAAAGACCATCTCATTCCACCTCCTGCCATGGGCAGGGACACCTTCCACTAGCCCAGGTTGCTCCAAGCCCCATCCAACCTGGCCTTGAACACTTCCAGGGATGGGGCACCCACAGCTTCTCTGGGCAACTTGTGCCAGGGCCTCACCACCCTCACAGGGAAGAATTTCTTCCTAAAATCTAATCTAAACCTACTCTCTCTCAGTTTGAAGCCCTGCTGACAATACAAGATAACAGTCAGTCTGGCTTAGGCCACATATTGACTATTACTCAGCACAGAGACGTGTGTGATTTCAAAGTGAGATCAGGAATTGCAATTTCCTGATGCAAAGAGGGGTGTCCAAGTGTCTGCAGCAGAACTGGCCAGGTTCTTCAGTGCTATGAAAGAGTATTGGATGCTGGAGGCACCAGCCCCAGCCACACAGAAGCTCCCAAACCCTGTGTCTGCAGGCTCCCAGCCAAGCTGAACTCCAGGATCCTTGATTATTGCCTAATTTGAGCCCAGGGACTCAGCCATAACGAGTGGGTGATTGCATGAATCATGCCTCGCTTTCTCTCCCCCAACACAGCAATTCACCCACATTTGTTCATTACTCAGACTTGTTTGCCAAATAATTTATGCACATAATTTCAGATGGGTAATTCATTCACATGCAGCCTGGACGAGTATTTAGCAATTGAAATGAGAAAGTCAAGATGTTTTGTTTGGGCTCACAAGTTTTTGTCTCATGATTAACTCTCGAAACCGTGTTGTAGGGGGTGAATGCTCGTGTCAGTGAATTCAAGATGCAATTTCTGCATTTATTCTCTAATACACACATACATTCATGATGTCTTCACTTGGTAGTAAACTTATTGCTTGCAAAGCCTGTGAAAAGAAAACACGAAAGGAGCCTAAATTAAGCTAATTTTTTAAAACAATATAACATATGAAAAACTAACCTGCTGTGTGATCTTTTAATTCTGTGCAAAAGAGAAAAAAAGGCTGCACTGAAATCTGGCCAAAAAGTAAAGTGATAAAATGGGTACTGGATGCTTTCCAGCATCCTCTGAAACATTCAGGGTAGAAAATGTCAAACTGCTTGAATTTGAATCTTTTAAAGAGGAAAAAAAGCATCCGAAGTGTAACCAAAAAATCTCCTGGACACGGTGACACTTACCAGAGGAATGGAAAGTGGTAAATGTGGCACCAGATTTTAACACTGTTGTGTCATGATGTAAATCCATGACTCATAAATCCTTCTCGAGAATCTCAGTTCTGGTTTCTTTATGGATACAGAGGGGGTATGTTTATAAATATACATGTGTAGGAGGATGGCAAAAGGCTATAGATAAAGTGGAATTGTGAATGACAACAGTTTATGTGGGTTCAAGAGACCAGGGAGAAGCATCCACTGAGTGTTTCCAACTATCTGCAAACATCTTTGGCTCAGGAAATTCCCGAAAGGCAAATTGTTGGAGACAGAGAGAGTATCAGAGGAAACATCACTTTATGCTCATCCTGTTCCTGTAGTTTTCCTAGATATTCAATTTGGCCAGTGATAGAGACAAGATGAAAAGTAAGTGTGGGTTGGATCAGTCTGGATCAGTGTGGTTGCAGTGCTGGGTAAGGCAAGAGGTGCCCTGCAAACCACAGACTGGCAGGTCTTTCTGGAGCAAAGGGTATCATCCAGCATTACACTGGGATCCTTGGAAATATTGGAGGCTGGGGAAGATCAGTCACTGCAGAAAGCTTTTTAGCAGGTTTATTGCAATAATTTTTTAAAGAAACTACGTTATCGCGGGGTAAGATGGAAGACTTGTCAGGAATTCATGATTGCCAAACAAAAGGAAAGAAAATATAGAAACAAGGGTCATTTTTCACCATGGAAAGGTTATCAAGCAGGGTCCCCTAAAGGTCTAGTGGAAGTCTTCGGGAGCTGACCAGAAAGTAAAGGAATTTCTGAGGTGCCACAGCTTGCTGGCATCACAGAATTACATGGGATAGTTAAAGCTAAAGATTTGTGTCAAGGGGAGAGAATGGATCCCAAGTCCTGGTGATTGTAGGGTAAACTCCAGGGAAATTCTGTGTTGGCAAGTACCAAATAATAAACATGGAAAGAGTAATTTTTATATATATATATATATGTAATGATAGGCTCTAATGGCTATTACCTGCTCAGGAAAGAAATCTGAGCGGGAGTATTGATAACTCTATGGAAACAAGAACTTAATTCCCAGCAAAAAGAGATAAATAATACACTAGGCAGAGATTCTAAGGCAGAACTTGTGTCCTAACATAATCCATTAAAAAAAAAAGACCATCAGAATTACTAATAGGCTTTAACCACTCAGTTATTTGCCAGCCTCCTTTATATTCCAGATATTGTTGAATATAGCTGTTGCTCCAGTCCAGAGCTATAGACACCACCACCTCATCCATAAGGTGTAATTCAAAAGCAATATATACTTATTTCTATGGAAGAGTATTTTTCACCACATTTGGTTTACTTGCTACAATATTTGACTTTTATATAAGTGAGGTGATGGTAAAAAAAATTGTCCAAGTCCATCTTTTGCTGGGAGAGGCAGTTTGGAGCTGGGAAGCCTGGTCAGAATATGTTCCCCAGGTCTGCTGCACTGCAAAGTAGAGGGAGAAGACATTAAAGAGCACACACAGAGGACATCAACCACCTCCCCTTCATGAAAGGCCCACAGAAACAACTCTGATGAGTTAATACAACAAAAGCTATTCAGCAAATCAGCTTATTTGAGAAGCCTGATGGATGGAGAGCCAGGAAACTGCTGCTGATGAAACAGCCAGGTAGCTTCCAAAATATTCTCTCCTCTCACGTTCTCACAGCATGAGCATTCACATGTTCCAACCTCCCACCTATGTGTGTAAGAAAAGGTGATGTCAAGAGCAATGGAGAGATAGGGCAGGTCACTAGTCCCGTTTTGGAGTGGTCAGACAGTGGACCTGGAGGTACCCTGGCCTTCAGATGAGCAATATGTCAGCTGTGAGCACTTTTGGAACCGAGTGTTTATCTTGGCTGTCTTATTTTGCCTGGATCTCATGCAGAGAAATGACTGTGTCCAAGTAGGCTGATACAGATGGCAACTGCCAGCAGAGTTAGGTCTTCATTTGCAAATGGAAAATGACAGGGAGCCATTGCCAACCCGAATCCATCTTCCCCATCACCTTTGCTGGGAGGGAGATCAGCTTTGCACCAAGCCCAAGACTTGGCAGTTTGGTTTGATTCCTGCAGTGGCTCCCAAACAGCTCCATCTGAATATCCATGGACGTGGGAGTGCTCGGCTCCAAACCAGACCTCAGATCCTCGCTGTGAGCCCACCATATGGGGCTGGGTGCTGTGAACGCTCTCAGCCCTGTGGAGGTCAGCAATCACTTTTATCAGCCTGGTACGTACAGCACCACGAATTTAAAGGCACAGAGCTTTGCTCTGAAGCCCCTGCAGACAAACCCCTCTTGCCTGTGTGTTGGGCCTTGCAGCTGGTGTTGGCTGCAGAAGGTGCCCATCTGTGCGGAAGGAGAAGCCACAAGCACTGACTCACTGCTCCACCACCTCCTACTTTTGGCAGTAACCAGCATGAGCTGATTCAGAGGACACTGGCAAAACAGAGCACTTGCAGTAAGGGATCGGAGTAGATGCTCAAACGATGTGAGATCAAGCCACACTCAGAGCAATCACTGCCAGATAAGTGAGTGATACACAGATGTGAACACGGACTCATGGACTCACTGGATGAACTCAGTGTACCCTCAGTAAGTTGATCTGCAGGAAGGCTCTGCAAGGGGGTCTGGACAGGCTGCACTGATGGGCCAAGACCAATAGTATGAGGTTCAACAAGGCCAAGTGCTGGGTCCTGCCCTTGGGTTACAACAACCCCCTGCAGTGCCACAGGCTGGGGGCAGAGTGGCTGGAAAGTGGCCCAGGGGAAAAGGACCTGGGGGTGCTGGTGACAGTGGCTGAACATGAGCCAGAGTGTGCCCAGGGGGGCAAGAAGGACAATGAAATTCTGCCTTGTGTCAGCAACAGTGTGGCAGCAGGATCAGGGCAGTGACTGTCCCCCTGTACTGGACACTGGTGAGGCCACACCTTGAACCCTGGGGTCAGTTTTGGGTCCCTCACAACAAGAAAGACACTGAGGTGCTGGAGTGAGTCCAGAGAAGGGCAATGGAGCTGGGGAAGGGTCTGGAGCACAAGTCTGATGAGGAGCGGCTGAGGGAGCTGGGGGGGCTCAGCTTGGAGAAGAGGAGGCTCAGGGGGGACCTTTTCACTCTCTACAACTCCCTGACAGGAGGGTGGATCCAGGGGCATGTCAGGCTCTTCTCCCAGGGAACAAGTGAAAGGACAAGAGGAAATGGTCTCAAGCTTCACCAGGGAAGGTTCAGGTAGGATATCAGGAGGAATTTCTTCACTGAAAGTATGGTCAACCATTGGAACAAGTTTCCCAGGGCAGTAGTGGAGTTACCATCCCTGGAGGTGTTCAAGTAATGACTGGATGTGGCACTAAGTGCCCTGGTCTAGTTGACAAGGGGGTGATTGGTCAAAGGGGTGACTCGATCTTGGAGGTGTTTTCCAACCTAAATGACTCTGTGATTCTGTGAAAGCAGGTTTCAAACAGCAGCAATGAATTTCCAAGTAAGTTTGGCTTCCCTTAAAATAATCCCATAGGTGATACCTTACCCCCATGTGTCATACAAACACAAAGTATCATATCCAGACAGTGGAGGTGAGATTTGCAGACCAAATACAAAGTCTACAAGCCCTGACACCTAGAGCTGGACTAGACACCCTTGACTCCCTTTGTGTGGACTGAAACACACTTTTTAATCTTGCAGTCCATAGTCATCCTCCAGTCACTGTCTGAAGCAGTTCAGATGGATCTTGCCCAAGAAATGCCTATTCATAATAAAGAACCCAAGCAACCAGCTCAGATCATGGAAATATAGAATCATTAAGGTTGAAAAAAACCTCTGAGATCACCAAGTCTAACAATTAACTCAGCACTGCCAAAAATGAAACTGGAAGTTAGGAAAACACTTCAGTGTTGGTGAGAAGAACCCCACCCCGCAGATGCAGGGGCTCATCTCCAGAGTGTACAGCTTTAAGGAACATTCCTGATGCCCAGTGCTATATGACTGGAAATAAAAATATCCTTGGAGAAGAAAACTCCTCCCCAAATATATAACAAAACACAGTGCCTGCTCCAAAATCCTAGTTCTTCTCTCCAGCCAAGGATCAGGTTTGGTCCTTAATGAGAGAGGGGTCTTGTGTGGGTCAGAGGGCAGCGTCAGGACCCTTCTCTTGCAGAGGAGGAGAGGTTTTAACACCATCGTAGGAAAACGCTCACATTTTCCCAAAACTGTGGTCCAGGCACACTCTTGTGGTTGGACAGAGCTAATGCACGTTTGCACAAGGCCATTTCTGCACCCACCAGCTCAGAGGAGCCGAGGGGGCTTTGTGGCTTGTCCTGCCCCACAGAGAAGGCACCAGCTGACACATCCCAGCCACTGCATCCATAATGATCCAGGCTGTTGTGGTAACCCCCAAAATGCTTTAAAAGCCTGCCTGAGTGCTTTTACCCAGCCTTGGCTCAGAACATTGTGTGTGCCTGAGGCAGTTAATAATTTAGCACTGCGGATAATAACCCTTCCACAGGGATGAGCCTGGCTCTGGGAAAAGGGACACCCCAGCCGCTGGTCTGAGGGGTGGGGGCTTGGGATCCCCACGCTATTAAGAGGATTAGGATTCATGTCACCCCACATCACAGGGCATCCTGTATGACTTCATTTATCCTGGGAACAGGCCTTCATTTATCCTGGGAACTGCCTCCTCGTCCTCCCCAGGTGAGCAGCTTTAGATACTCTCACGCCCTGCAGCCTTGGCAGTTGGCTCGTGGTGCTGGATCTCCTTGGCCTCTGCTGCTTGGGGTTTTGCTGAAGGAGCAGCAAAACCTTCCTAGCTGGCAGCCTGGGTGAAGCCCATCAGCCCTGCTCCTACCTGAGTGAGGGAAAAGGTGTTGGCACTCAGCTGTAAGAATCAGAAAGTCACAAAGTGAGGCTGAAAGTGGATTTTTGTGGTTTGTTTTCTTTTTTTTTTCTTTGCTGTCAGGACATGCAGATCTCATCCAGGAGGTCCCATGCTGTGCATTGTCTGAGGTCTTGGGATCCGTCAGCGGCACAGCATCAGTGACCCCACTGAGTTCTTTGTAATCTGAGCAAAACTCCCTTTTCCCCTATTTTTTGGAGTGCCCAGGATCAGGAGGATTCCCCTTGGTTTGTTCTCTCCTTGCGACCTGCTTGCAGCATCTCCCCATCATGTGAAAAACACTGTGGCCCTTCTGTACCAACTACATGGGTTGTGCTGCTGATCCAGCCTCTCCACTTCCTCAAAATCATCTCAACATAGCTCTGATTTGTGGCATTCACAGCAGCCTGTGCAAGGACAGGGATCCCTGTGACATCCATGAGAAAAGCTGTCTCCTGCTGCCAGTCTGACCTCTGAAAAGAGATATATGAATGGAAAATACCTGGGACTTTAGGGTCTTTAATTCATTGTTATTCCTACTCAGAGGAATTGCTGGTTGCTTCCTGTCTGGATTTTGCAGGAGGGTTTGGAAGGGAGCTGCACTGACTCTTCCCCAAGGAATGGCCATTGCCACCAGCTGCTGAGCCCTGGGCATGGCTCTGCTGTGCTCTTAGCAGGGAATTCTCATCCTTCCCAAAACTTTCCCTTGCTTCCCTGCTCCTTTCTGAGTCTGGACTTGTGTAGGTAACAGGACAGATTGTCCTGCTCTGGTGCCATGGGCATTTCTGAGACGATTATCCCATGGAAACAAGAGAGTCACCAAGTCCCACTGCTCATGGGAGATGCTGTTGGAGTAGCACCCAGATCAGAAGGAAAATTTGGGTTCCCCTTAGCTCTCCTCCATTTCAGACCTGATCATTGTGATTGCAGCTCTGGCTGGAGTCACCTTCCCAGCTCTTCTCCCTTAGGATTGTTGCTGAATTACAAATACCAGCATCAGTTGTCTGCTTTGGATATATTAAGATATGTACTTTGACAGCACGTTGTTCTCTGAGAGATCCTGGAGTTGTTTCCCTGGATCACCTTGTTCTCATTCTGCCCTGGCACTGGAGAGATCATTAGAGAAAACTGCATTTAAACATCACCCCAAAAATAAACTACTCAAATCCAAACGAGCCCTGAACTGTTTGGTGAGGGTGTAGGATGGTGTTACAGGGAGGTGGTTTGAACAAACACTGCACTGGTGCCTTGTCATGGTCCTGTCAGAAAATCCCAGAGGCCCTGGATCATCATAGAATCCTTGGAATGGTTTGGGTTTGAAGGGACCTCGAAGACAACTTAGTTCCAACCCCCTGCCATGGGCAGGGACACCTTCCACTAGACCAGGTTGCTCCAAGCCCTGTCCAGCCTGGCCTCAAACACTTCCAGTGATGGGGCAGCCACAGATCCTCTGGGCAACCTGTGCCAGGGCCTTCCCACCCTCACAGCCAAGAATTTCTTCCCAATATCCCATCTAACCCTACCCTCTGTCACTGTGAATTCATTCCCCCTTGTCCTGTCCCTCCAGGCCCTTGTCCCAAGTCCCTCTCCAGCTCTCTTGGAGCCCCTTTAGCCACTTGAAGGAGCTCTCAGGTCTCCCTGGAGCCTTCTCTTCTCCAGGCTGAACACTCCCAGCTCTTCCAGCCTGTCTCCATGGCAGAGGTGCTCCAGCCCTCAGAGCATCTTTGTGGCCTCCTCTGGACTCAATCCAGCACATCCACATCCTTCTTAAGCTGGGGGTCTCAGGGCTGAACCCTGTACTGCAGGTGGGTTTCTAAATATTAATTTTTTATTTTCTTGCTGATGGGAAACATGGCATATTTGCATTTTTGAGCCTGAACAGTTTTAATTCAGTTTTTTATTGTACAAGCTCAAGAGGAACATTTACTTTGTTTTCACTGATTAGTTATACAATTATTCCTTTCAGATACCACATGAACCATGAACCATAATATTGTATTCTTTGCTAATACATTTTGACTGAGGTATTTACATGAAAACACAATACATAAATGTAATGAATTTTTCAAATGAACACATTGGTAATATAAAGTAATCTTTTCTTTTTTTTTTTTCAGGCACCAAAAATTCATTAAACGTTTTCTCAATTAGCAAACTGACTTTTCTAAATAAGCTGCTGATTGAGCACGAGCCAGTCACGCAAACCAGCTGGATTTGATAACTCTGGATGGTGTGTGTCACTGGGGAGAGGGAGATTATCTCCACCAGCCCAAGGCAGGAATCTTCTGCTGGATCTGACACAGGTTGAAGGGGGTACCACTTCCAGCTGCCCACCAGTGAGAAGTCAGTGTTCTCTAATACCTAAATGACAATAATCTTCTGTCTAGGAGGTGAAATGAAGTCCTGAGCCATATCCAGCCTGCAGGCTTGTATCAGCATCCATGCTGTGGCCAGCCAGGTCAGGGAGAGGATGAAGATGGGAATGAAGGAGGAGAAAACCTGGTTTGTTTTCAGCTGATTGAGGGCACAGATGTGGCTGCTCGCATCCCTGCAGCTGTGCCAGGAAGAATGAGGCCCAACTGCACTGCAGACAAGTCACATGTATTGCAAAATAATTTTTCCTGGATTCAGGAATCTGTAGAAGTGTTGGGATTTTTTTTTCCCCTCATGTGAGTCTCAAACACATGATCATCTGGCTCATCTCAGGTTTGCTGGGCTGGGCCTGGCAGAGCAACAAGTGTTGTGGAAGTGTCCAAGGCCAGGTTGGACAGGGCTTGGAGCAACCTGGTCTAGTGGAAGGTGTCCCTGCCCATGGCAGGGGGTTGCAATGAGATGGTCTTTAAGGTCCCTTCCAACCCAAACCACCCCAGGATTCTGTGATTATGTTCAGTGATGACATGAACTGTTGCAGCCTGGAGAAGAAAACTCATCCTTCTTTTCAAGTCAGCACCGCACTATAGTTTTCATATTCTATTTATTTTACAAGTCTTGTTTTTTCCATACTTTCCAGAGACAGTAATTCTTTTTTGTGGACCCCTTTAAGTATTCCCTGCAGAACCCAGTGAATGATGCTGGAATCTTGGTCTCACTGAAGTTAGTGGGCAGCTTGCTCCTGTCTTTATTGGGGAGGTTTGACTCTGATCGAGTCTTTTTGCATGAAGAGGAATAAATCTGTCAG